GAGAGGGTGCCTGGGCAGGGGGGAGGCAGTCCCTGCCAGCCCAGCCTGTACCTTGACAAACTGCACATCGCAGAGGATGTGCACAGAGTAGTCGGGTGTGTAGATGTTGTTGCTGCTGCTGTGGAGCTGCGTGGTGCTGCCTCCATAGTCGTTGTGCTCCCGGTTGGGGGACTCGGAGCGGTTGAGCCCGCTGCACCGCGATGGTGACCTGTTCACTGCCGGGAGGATGGCAGAAAGAGGCAAACACTTACTCTCACTCGTGGTGCCACTTGCGTCCCCAGTGCCAGCGCAGGGCCGGGATGGACTGGTCACCTCCAGCGGCTGTGCCCCACGCACACCAGGGCTGGCAGGGCCCCTACAGGGGACCTGCGGTGGGGTCCCCTCAGTACGTGTGGGCAGTGGAGACTCTTCCATGCCAGCCCTGCGCCAACCAAAGGGATGGAGGCAGGCATCTGACCTGGCACCAGAAGCAGAGGGACTGACTGACAGCTCTCCTGCTAACGCAGGCCTTCTGCACAGTATTTGGCACAAATTCTCCTGTTTGCAGCTGGCAGCCCACAGGGGTTTACTTAACCTGCCTCGTGGGCACGCTCCTGTCCACCTCGACTCCGACAGAATAGAAGCAGAAGCTGCCACAGCAATTTGGACCATCAGTCACATTGACTGATGGCCTCTGACACACAGCGTGATGAATTTTGACTGGCTGGTGATTTATTAGGGATCAAAGGCAGCTTGTTCTTTGCACGGGTGACATCAACACCTCCTTGATGACTTTGCTCTGTTGCTAAAATGCTTTTCAATTACCTGATTTCCAGAAAGCAAGGGAAGCAGAGCAGCACGTGCCCAGGGCTGTGGGTAACCATTGTCAGAAGCAGCAAGTAGCAAGAAAACCCAAGCACTGAGTGCAAGAAATTACACAAACTGCACACCAAAGAAAGCCCAAGCTGTCCATGGCTTTCCCTTCTCCCCATCCCATTCTTGCTGGATTTGCATCATACTGGGAAGCCTGTGGCATGGCTCCTGCCCTGCTCTGCCACCAGTGCTCCAACCAGTGAGGGGCTGCCTGGCCTGGGGTGCCGTGGGTACTCCTCTCCTGGCGCTGCTTGGCATGCAGGGTGGAGGGGGCTTGGTGCACTCTGGACAGGGAGCTGGAAAGAGCCTGTGGAGGCACATGTGGCGATCCCTGCCCAAAGCCATGCCCCGTTACCTGGAGAGCCAGCCAAGGAGTCCCCTCTGCTGAAGGCGAAGGTACGGGACACTGAGACAGGCACTGCAGAGAGAGGGAGGGGGAAGGAAGGAGGGGATGGGGGAAGATAAGGGATGGAGGTGAAGGTGGGGGTAAGACCAAGAGGAAGAATAAGAAAAAGAATCGTGCCAACAGCCCCAGGCTGGGCTCCCACCACTGCCTCCAGCATTCCTTCCCACCCCTCTTACACCCTCCTGCTTCTGCTCCAGGGAGGCACTCGCCAGCCCCGGGGACAGGGACACTGCCAGGGACACAGGCTTGAATGCTGTAAATCAACAGGCTGCTCTGGGATGAGGTAATAGGAGGCTCAGCTCAGGGGGACCAGCTCTTGCCAGGCCCGTCTGCACAGCCACGCATCCCCTGAGAGCTGTGCTGCGGGAAGAAAGCATCTTCATCCTGTTGGCTGAGTGCTGGCACCCTGCTCCAGCCCTTTGCCAGCCGCTGCCTGGAGGGGGGACTTTGTGGTCAGCTTGTGCCACCTGGGCAATGGGCGGAAGCTAAACCAAGTCTAAAACTGTGCTTGGCATTGGAGATGCCTCTGTGTGTGCAGGCAGGTGGCAGAGAAGGAACATGCTCTGGAACAGCCCCTGCCTCCACACAGCCCCACAGCTGCAGGCAGGGGCTGGCAAAAGCCCCTCAGCATCATGCCAAGCAAAGGCACTTGTGCCAGGCTGCCTGCAGCTCCCCACAAGGCCTTGGGTCTCAGCAGACCTGGGGCAATGCTGAGAAGAGCCCCCCCCTGGGAGCTGCTGCGTGCAGGAACCACAAGAAGCCAAGACCCCGCGCCCAGGGCTGCCTGACCCATTGCCACAGAGAGGGTGAACCATTCTCTTTCCATGTTATATTGCCACAGGTTACAGCAGCAGTGACTGTTTCAAGGGCAGACATTCCTCCCTGTGACTGGCTGGCTGTGGGGAGCTGCCCCGCTGCCCTCCTCTGTGTCCCTGGACCATGCCACAGGCGTTCAGGGCTCCATGGGGAGCACGGAGAGACCACAACACAGCGTGAGCAATGCACTCAGTACTGGCAGCACCCAGATCAAAAGCAGCAGGAGATGTGAGCCCGTCAGCTTCCAGCCCCTTCCTCCAGACGCTGCCATGCTTCCCCCCAGCTGCCGGCTCTCCTGCCCGGGGCGTGCTGCCCTTCCTCCAGCCATTGTGCTCGCAGCATGGCTGCAACACTCTAGGATCTGTCTGCTGCCTATGCAACTGTTTTTAAATTGCTTTGTCAGTAAAACACCCAGGAAATTTACCCTGCAGCCCCCTCCTTCTGATCTCCCTGCTCATCCACCACTAACTCCTGTTCCTTGTCCTCCCCTGGATCAAAAACTTCTGCAAATACAAGTCCAAGCAAAGGCAACAGCATGAAGCACTGCCCACAACAATGTGAGAGCAGGGAGCAAAGGACGGGTTGATAACCATCAGCACTTGCTCCCTGCTCTCACTGCCCAACCCTCCTGCAGCGGGGCTGGCTGTGCCAGGTCTCTGCCGCTGCATCCCTGCACCCTGACTGCCAATGCCAAAGACTGCCTGGTGATAAAAAAGTTGCATAACAGTTAATTAATAACAAACTGTTAAATGCTCAAGGGATGTGTCCCACGGCCAGCAGGGGTGGCTGGATGGCAGAAAACACCTTGGGACACAGTGTCATGCATGAGCAAGCAGAGCAAAGAGCCCCAAGAGGCTGCGTCTCAGCAGGCGGCCCTGCAGACACGCGTGGCTGCACTGACACAGCTCCCACCGTGGCTTGTGCCCTGCCTGGCCCGTGGCCCATGGGCAGCACTTGCTGCCTGAGCCCCAGCAGGGCCCTGGGGACGGTCACCGATGGCACAGGGACATCAGGCCATGCAGCAACATGCTAGGGGGAAATCAGATGCTTCATTGATTTCCTCTGTCCAAACTGAGCATGTTTTGGATGCACAGGGGAGCAGAAATGTGCACTGAGGGGTTAATCCAGCAGTCCATGAACCAGCTTTCCAAATGGAAGCAAAGCAAGCATCAAGAAATAGATGAAACCTAGAGCTGCATGCAGACTGGGACCCACGGGAGTGACAGTCACCTGCCCCAAGGGACTCCCCCTGTTCTCTCAATGGCATCCCTCCCTACACCTCCCTAAAGGTCAAACTTAGTGAGTTATTGTTTTGAGCAGGCACTCAGGGCATCCTTAGCTTACCATTGGCACTGCAGATATGACTGCAACATCTGGGGTTTGGGCTGAGGGATGAGCTGGACTAGGGATGGGCAGCACCTCCACCTGCTCCCAAGCCACCAGGGACTAAACATTTGCAGGGGTGATCAGCAAAGAAGTGTGGGGGGGTGGGGGTTCACAGTCTACCATGATCAGAGCTCCCTCTTAAGCCCTGCAAGTAAGGGATCTGCTCATTAACCCATCAGCTCTGCAAGCAGGGCATTTACCTGGAGCATCTACTTTTAACTTAGTTCATTTTCCCCACCACCACGTGTGAACAGCTCACAGGTAAATGACCCATCTCTGCAATTCTGGAGCAGCCCTCATTCCCCTGGCGCCGGACCCACATTCAGCTCGTGCCCCAAGCCTCAGAAACGCAAATAGCACCAGAGATGTTATGCTGAGACCTAGATGCACCGTGCCAGAAGTCGCAGGCTTTACTGTTCCCATCATCATGGGCACGCTGCCACCCACAGGCAGTGCCCCTTGCAGTGCCCTTTGCAGCACCAGCCGTGCTGGAATCCACCTGCAGGGATCCAGCGCATGGCTGAGACCTCAAAGGGACCTCAGAGTCCCTCTGCAGGGACTCTGCTGCATCAGCCCCTCAGCACATTGTTCCTCCACCGAGCTTTTTAAAGGGGGTGACCTCAATGCAGAGCCTGAGCTGCTCTTTGTGGGGTGCAAACCCATCCCTCCTCCAGCCAGCTGGTACCGCGGAGGCGAGGTTTCAGAGCCCCAGCCTGCTGCAAAATACTTACATAGGAAGGAGGATCCAGCCAGGCTGCCCACTTTCCGCATGTCATTATCTGAAATTATAATGGGAGGTGTAGGAATTGCAGAGGAAGGGCTCCCACCTGCCCTGCACCCCACAGCAGGGCCACCCCACCCCACATCCAGCCCATTCTCCTGGCCACCAGCTGGCTCAGCCCCCGTGGAGGCTGCTGAAGCAAAGGAAGGGCTGGGAGGAGCCTGCAGAGCCCTTACCCGGGCACGGAGTAGCCTTTCCCCGAGGAGACAACAGCCATGATGGCAGGGATGCCATAGTAGGTGAATGCCCCGTTTTCAAACCGCAGCCCTTCCTTGCCAACCTCCACTGCCACTTTCCCCTGGAAGGAGAAGGAAAACTTGCTCAGGCACCCGCACTCCTGGCCACAGACCCACTCTGGGCTGCAGGGACACCCGCCACCCCATAGGAGAAGACGGGCATCTCCGCTAGCGGAAGCAGCCCAGAGCAAGATGGCAAGGACAGACAGGACACCCGCTGCCACACTCCACTCGCCACTGTCCCAGGCACCTGCAGGATGAGGACAAAGTAGTCGACAGGGCGGTTGCGCTGGTAGAGGTAATGCTCCACCGCCTTCTTGTTCTTTCGGTCGTACTTGAGCTCCTGGATGACGTTGGGGTGTTTCAGGAGCCGCAGCAGGATCTTCTCGGAGAGGTAGGGGGACTTGAAAGGCTCCACTTCTAGAGGGAAGGCAACATGTGCTCGCGCAGTGGAGCTGGGGCTGCCGGAAACCCCTCGTCCTCTGAGCTGCACAGCCCCCCTCCTGCAGCTTCAGCACCCCTCTGCACAGAGGGGAGCCAAACACAGGCCCGTGATGGTGGAGCAGCAGGACGCCCAGGGTGGGGGTCCAGGCAGGTGGACACTGCTCGCTGAGGGGGGAACCCAACCCAGGACCAGCTCAGGGATGCCCTGCAGGGCTGGCGCTGCTGTGGGGAGATGCGTGGCTTGCACAAAAGCAAGAGTACCTGTTGCCATGAACCGATGCGTAGCCAGCAGGAGCTGCGGGGAGATCTTCACCTTCATCTCGCTGTCCGAGAGCCTGAAGATGGAAAAGTCCTGGGGCTTGCGTCCCCGGTGGGGCACCCGCTCCTTTTTCCGATTGTCCGCTGTGGGGCAGAGAGCAGAGCTGTCAACTGCCTGCAGCAGCCACAAAGCCACTGCACACACATATACAGAGAGGTATGTCTTGCAGCACCCTGTCAGGGCTGCTGTGGAGCTGTAGCTGGAGCAGCAAGGTGCAGAAAACGTGCCATGCATCACAGCCTTGGGAGCAGCTCCCAGGGGAGGGAGCAGGGTGGCAAAACACACTTCTCTCTCAGGAACAAGTCTTGGGTTGCCCAGGCTGGATGCATCACCCAGAGTTGGAAAGGAGCCTGGGAACCACCCATGGGCAGTTCATGCCCAACACACGTGTAGCTGGGTCAGGCCCTCCCCAGACACTGGCTGCTGATACTGGTGCTTCTCTTATCTTGAGCATTCAAGACTCCCTGACATCTGACCAGCATCTCTCCATCATTCTTGTTTTCCCCACCATGACTGTGAATTGCTCTGGGGAAGGACCAGGATTTGCTCTGGCCTGTTTCCTACCCACATGCCTGTCTGTCTGCGCGGGCTCCCACCCTGGCTCCTGCAACCGCAGTAGCTGCTCTGGGACACTAACTGTACAGATCCGTCTCATCCAGGATCTCGGACTTGATGATCTCCTCAATGACATCCTCCAGGGTGACAATGCCCATGACCTCGTAGAATGGGTCTCCTTCCCCTTCATTGTTCACTCGCTGCACGATGGCCAGGTGGGACTTTCCTGCGGGGGGAGAGCAGAGCAGTAGTGAGACCCCCACCCCTGGCAAGAGGGATCCCCAGCCAGTGGGTTGCCAGGCAGCCAGGGCTTGGTGGGAGGCACAGATCACAGACACTGTCATCCAAACCCACCCCAACAGTGCTAACCCAAGGAGAAGGCTGGACACACAGCCCTGCCTAACAGAGCCACTACTACCCAGGCTGACTTCTAGGTCTCACAGGACCCTGCCCAGTGCTTTTTCAGTGCTGCCAGCTTTCTTTACCCAGGCAATCTGCTGCAAGTCACTCTGTTTAGCTCTTTGACAGCCTCCTGCACAGGACAGAAGTGTACATTATACCAGCTGCTTCTTGCTTACCCCGGCTTCAGTGGCACAAGATAATTCTAACAAAGCCATGAGACAGCACCCTCCAACACAGAAATGTGAGCATGTCCTTGGGGTCTACTGGTTTCCCTCCTCCTCCTGGTGTTTTCTCATTCTGTTGTTAATTATCTTTCCTATCAAACTGCCAGGAACAGCTCCCCCACATCTTTCTATCCATCACTGTCTGGACTGATCCTAAAGCTTTTCTTAAAATCTAGGAAAATCCTCCAGCTCCTTGGAATAGCAGCTGGTTTTAATGCAGAAATGCATATGTTTATTTGCAGCTTTCAGCCCAGCTCCTGCAGAACTCTTGGGTGAACCATCTGGACGCAGAGGCTGAATGCTTTTAAAGCCATCAGCTTGCACCTGAACGTCTTCTCCAAACCCTGCCCCTGACAGCACCTCCTCTCTGTTACCTCAAACAAGCAGACTGGGACCAGGACGTTCAGCCGCAATGATGGTGACTCCTGCTTGGGAGTGGCAGCATTTCTCAATCACAGTTTCAGCTTCCTCACTTGTCCCAGTCAGCTGGCAGCTCTGCTGACATATTCTCAGGCTTCTTGTTTTTGGCATACTTGAAACATCACTATTTGTTCACATGTCCAGCTGTCCATAAGCTGTTTTGACTTCTTCAACTTCTCCCTTCCTTTATTGTCTGCTCTGATTTATGCTCCCGCTCAGCAGTTTGACCAGAACCCAACTTCCAAGCCACAAACAACTTCTAGGTTTCTAGCTCCAGTGTATTCTTGGCCCTGCCAACTAATAGACTGGATTTCTTACCACCCCTGTGGCTCCTGCACTGCTCAGCAGTACCCACAAGTTCTGAACCTCTACTTTTACCTGAAACATTAAAAATGTCCTTCATGGGCACCACAGCCAACAACTTCTCTTCCCTCTGGTTGCTCTGCATCCCTGGAGTCTCCTGTTGCAATGCCTGCACAAACCTAACCGTACCACGGGCACTGCGGGGACCTCCAGAAAGCTGCAAACACCGTATTTTCCCCACGGGCTTGGAGCTGAGCTCCTTGAGCAACAACAGTCACCTGAAAGGGAGGCAGGTCCCTTCTGCTATGCAGCTGCCTCTGCATCTGCTTCTCCCATAAAGCCTCCCTGACAAACTCACCTGCTGCTCTGGGCGGGGGGGATACGAACAGTATTTATGCATAAAGAAGCAACAGGGGTGGGCTCCTGCTGCTGCACTGCTCCCTCCTAGCCTGCTGCTGCCTCTGGCTTGTTCCTGCAGCAGGACAGGGATGAGCACATCCAGGGCAGCCCCGCAGTCCCACCAAACACATCTTGCTGGAGACCATGCGACCTTCAAATAACCCTGCCCTGCATCTGAGATGAGCAAATTACATTTCTCAGACGAAGATCAGCACTATACATTTCTCACAGCAAAGCTTGGTCATTTTCCATAGTATAAATTCCCTCCTCCTCATACCAAGCTTTTATTGCAAGATTTCAGAAAGCAGCTCACTGCCTCCCACGACTACAGAATTAGAAACAAGAACATAACACCGCAGCAAGTAGCACAGAGATGCATTTTAACAAACCAAATCAATAGCCTCAGGCCACTGAAAATTCAGCATGTTCTTTGGACTGGGCTATTTCGCTCCTTTCATACATGGGTTTGTACATCTTGTCTGTTCAGTGGGTAATAAAGCAACACAACTTGAAAGTTAAAAAGAGAAAAGCAGCTGAGTTGGCCACAAGACAGCAGCAACAGCTACATTTTGTCTTAGCAAAGTCCAGCTTTCAAAAATGTCTCCTTTGCCAAACCACTCTTCCAAACACCGGGGCCATCTGGTCTCCTACAAGTCCTCGTGTGAGTGAGAAGAGGGGAGAAGTTATTTCTTTTGGCTGAAAGCTTGTTGTTAATGACATTTACATGCAACCCAAAACCACCAAGCCCTTACAAAAAGCTTAGGTGCTACTTAAAGGCAGTCAGAGAGTAATGGAGGCAATTCTTTTTTTTGGCTAAACACCTACAGCGACACTGTAATTTACACTAGAGCAGCCTCAGAGAAATGTGATTCCAGCTCTACATGCACATAGCAGCAAATGAGACTATTCAGAAATAACCCAGCACTGTAGCTTATGAGGAGAACCATGGTTTCACTGTGCTGGGGGCAGAGCCAGGAGGGCTGTTAAGAGTGCTCAAGAGTTCTTCATTTTCACAGAAAATAAACACTTGTAGCCATGCTATAAACTCCCAGGTTCAGGTTTCCAGGCTAACATCCACATTAGAGACAGAGCAGACACCCAGCGATGGAAAATGGTTCTAATTCAGGCGGTTGCTCCTCGTCCACCCCAAGTGAGCTGATCCTAGCTCCTGCCCAGCTGATACTCCTATCACAAAGACACCACAAAACCTGCTCCCACCCCTCGCAAATGCTCATGCAAATGACTGCTGCTCCCAGCTGGCCCCCACTGGGAAAGGGCTGATCCTCCACCTGAGGCACATGAGATCGTTTACAAAGTTCTGCCCCCCACCTGGCCGGGTCCTGCGTCTCCTCCCATCACTTTTTTTAACAGACCCTATAAATGTGGCAGCATGGGGGGAATGGGGGTTTGCAGGTGCCCTGGCTGTGGCTTCTTCCTTTGTGGGCTGAAGATGCTGCCAAGTGTCTCCTGCCTGGCTCTGGGGGCCGCTACAGTTGCACAGGGAAAAAGCAGCAGCTTTTGGAGCAGGTATGAGGGTAGAAGTTGGGCAGTTTTATGAGGTGGAAGCGATGTCCAAGGGGGAAGTAGCACAGGGATAGACCTGGGGATGTCAGAGGGGTCGCATTCTCTTCTACAGCCATTACCCTGTGGGTCTGCCTCAGTGGGAGTACAAGAGAGGGAGATAAATCAGTTAAACAAAACCCCAAAGTTGATCTAAAACAGCTTTAAGATCTGTAAAACTGATTCCAAAAGCTGTGCTATTGTAACCATTGCTTGATAGCTCAAACTAAATGAATTATAAGGGCGAGCTGCTTCCCCACTAGCAAGCTGTCACATGTGAATTTTACAGGGCTATTGCTGATGCAGGAAAGCACAATGAAACACTTGAGAATCAAAGCCTTGGTTTGGCAAATGCTAGAACAAATGGGCAATTAACTTTACTTGTGTGAATAGCTTCACTGGCCTCTGCAGGACTGCTCTTGCACAGGAAGTCTATAGGTGATTAAGTGTCTGCTCAGCATGGGATACAACTGTACTAAATTCTTTATGAGCTACATGAAATCTGCTCTTTTCAAACAACAGCTTCACTGGAAAGTTAATGCCTCAAAATGCGAAATTACAGAGCTAATATAAACAGCTGAAAGCTTCCGGATGGAGCAAGCATCAGAACAGATATCTAAAGCTTTTGTGCCCATTTTTAGGAGACTTGTTTTTTCATAGGTACCTAAATGACCTTGGGCTTGTAGATCCACCTCAAAGCATCCTCCCTGATGAGAGAACAGGGTCTGAACACATGGAAATGCCTTTATTTGTGGGAAAGAAAGTGCTGTTGGCTGCAAATATAGCCCAGACTACTTCCTTATCATTTTTTTTATGTAGATGCTCTGCCAGAGGAATGTTAAAGATGCTTTAGCCTTGTTTCTCGTTCCATGTGATGAGCATTCTGAGCATGAAATTTACTTTCATGGGTTTTATGGTAAGATCTAAAGCTGTTACTAGGAGATCAAAGGCACAAGCCATGAACCATTTACAGCTACAAAATGGAAGGCAAAAAAAAAAGACTAATTGGCAAATAAGGTTGATTTGTGACACAACCATGATGTAACTGAAACTGATTTTCTGTGTGTTTTTCATTAGAGCTCTTTTCTGGGCCAGGGACTCCCAGCATCTCTGTGCCCCCTTGCAGACCTGCATCTGAAGTGGCGACCCTGATTTGAACTTCTTGAACTGGAAATGAGTGTGAGTGTGCTCTTGCGTTACCATGTCTTGGCATCAAGGGTGAAACCACATGCCTGAGGCATTGCACCTAGAGGTAACACACATCCACACCTCAACACAGAGGAAACAAGCAGGAAGATTGCAGGAGCACCCAGCTCTATGGGGAATCAGAGCTATGTGAATAGAAAACTGTAAATTCTAATCAAATCCAGACCTTCTTCAGAGATGAGAACTTCATCTGCTTACATCTGTCTTTAGCAGAATACAGAAACCTTTCTCATACTCTGCTTTGGTGCTTTTTCTGATCCTAAGGAAAACTGGGTAAAAGATGGAATATTCAGAATAGCTGATGTAAATTTTGTCAATTACCATTGACAAAACAGATCAGGATGGCAAGGGAGAGATCAGAGGGGACATGGAGTCCCATCTTGCATCTGCCGTACATTCTGACCTCCTGGGTATGAGCCTGCCCACAAATGGTAGGTCGTCTTCTGTGTTACTTGGAGCCTAAGGAAGACCACAAGGATGCTGAGGCTTTTTCAAGCTAAAAAGCTCCTAAAGAGTCAATGCAAAACTGTGTTCATTGGTGTCTGCGGCGTTAGGCCACTTAATTATTTCCCACAACTCGGTCCAAAGGTGCCTTTGACAGCTCCGAAGAGCGCGGTGGCAGCTGGGTGCTCTCTCCTCCAAGGATGCGGCTCCCGTCTTGCTTTGCTGAACACTGCCCAGAAGCAGGCCTGCTCATGGGCTTGCTGGGGTGTGGGGTAAGGCAGCCCAGCGTTCACACAGTAAGATTTAGCACAGTTTTAGGGGAAAAGTAATGTTTCAGGCAGAATTGCATCATGAGTCACTGAAACCATCTTTTGTGTATTGGCACCTCATCTACTCTCAGCCTGGCAGTCATCCTTCAGGGGATGTGTACAGGATAGTTCCTGGGTAACAACCAGCTCCTTAACCCGTACAACTGGCTAGGGAGGTCACTGCTTCAGCCCATCAAGGTGCCCAAGATGTGGCTATCACACTTGCAGAAATCTCTTGAAGGCTGATGTAAATGTCAAGCCATGCTTTGTGCTTGCAAGGACTGCAGGCTCAGAAGAACGACAGTAAAAAAAGCAGCTGAAGTGGCACTGACCCCAGTTCCTGGCAACTGTAAGCACCTTCTCCAGCTATATTCAATTTGTACAAGTGTAATAGAGGCTGTGGACTATTTTGAAAAGCAAAGACAGACCCTAGGGCAGAGCTGTCCCCTGCAGGACAGGCTGTTTTTCCTGCTAAGGCAGGAAGTTTTTTGTTTTTTTTTTTTTTTTGAGAATTTACTTTTAGTAACTCTTAAAAGATGCCAAACCACAGAAGGCTAATTTGAGTTACACCTCAGCCTCCGCCCTGCTAAGAGCAAATTTCTACTGTTCCTCTGACAGAGGAAAATTACTTGCTGAAAGGTGCCACTGCTGTATATAGCTTCCCCCCAGGAAATTAGTCAACAAAATCCATAAATAATTTGAGGAATAGGATAAGATTAAGGCTTCCCAAAGGCACTAGAAAGCAATCTGGTGGACCTCGCAGAAGAGCTCCCCATGGGCACTTATATCACAGGACTGATAACTTGCATTGCTTTGGTTATCTTCTAGGGATAGGTGAGAAACAGACTGCACCACCCACAGTATTTCACACTGAATGAATGCACAAACCCTTCCTCCCAGCTCTGCATTCCCAAGGTGAAGTTTACACTACCGGGACCTCATCTGCCCCTCTACATTGCTTTAGCTTGCTAAATATGGTGCACTTATTTCTCTGGTGTATTGGCATTTCCTCCTGCAAGCCTAGAATAAAGCCAGGTACTCTGAGATGTACCAGTCCAAATTGCCAGGAAACTGTCTCCAAACTTTTTAACTCCTTCAATAGTTCCAGCGTTTTTCAGGCTGCATGTGGCAAAGTTACTGTACCAGCGTGTATTTTCTTATTTCTAGGAAAACAGAGACACATTTTGTGTAATGTCCTCCACTTAGCACTTCTGTGTAAAAGCTGCACAACTATACACGCCTTTTATAATGACCCTGTCCAGCTTGCCTGAAAAGATGGCAAATTGGGTGTCCAGAGTTCATTATTAGAGATAATTTCACTGAGGTTTGATGAAATCAAGCCAAAACCATCTCCTAGCACAAGCAATTCCTGCCTGCAGCTGGACCTACCTCACACTGCTGTGCTGCCATTTCTCAGTACAGCTCTAGCAGCTGCCCTCCTCCTTCAGTCTGTGGGCTGAAGTCCAAGGTCTCCACTCACAGGCCAACCTCCCCTCCCCATGTTGCTGTTTGCAGCTTCTCTGGGTTTTTCCCAGTTCCCATTAATGTCCCCAATTTAATGATCTTTCTCCAGGACTTAGTGCCAAAAGAGACACTGAACGATGCCAGCAGCAGCAGGCTTGTAAAGGAGATGTGAAGGGTTTGACCAGTTCCGCTGTGATGGGGCAGGGGACAGGTTTTGTCAACCAGGAGCTCACAGCTGCTCCTGGATGCTGTAACCACTCCATGCCATTAGCCCCATAGGTGCTGCTGAAATGTGTGCTACTGTTTTCATACAGTTTAAATGTCTCGGCAAGCGGATGTTACAGAAGTGCCCTTCCCCAGGTCTGTGGAGGGTAACCCCATCTACACAGGGTTCTGTTGGAGGACAGGGCATTCTCAGCTTGTGTATGGATTAAACTTAAGGCAAAGATCAATATGTCTTAATGGAACTGAGCTCAAATGAGGTTACAGGCGAGCATACCTAGAAACCAATGAAGGAAAACTTCCCTTCCAGCCCTGCTATGAAAGACTCGAGAGGAAAAAAAAAAAAGCTGATCACCTTCATAGCTAGGATAGCACAATGAGAGAAAAGAAATAAATCAGGTAAACAAGGACAACACACTATGAGATTGGTGAGTAGGAGGAGAGAGAGAAGAGGGAAAGTGCTGCCGGAGGTGTGAGCAAGAGTCCCAAAGTGCTGTATTTAATCATCCCCTGACATTTTCAGTAAGAAAGAACAAATGTTTGTGTACTATGGCAAGGAGCCCTGGCAGTGAAATTGTGTTACTTATATATTATGCAAAAAAAATTATATTGTGGGTATAGTGGATATAGCAGATCATTAATCATTAGTGAAACAGATCAGAAGTATACATAGCTATCCAGGAAAGAAAGCTGTAAAATGTGATGGGTATTTTGTATAAACACTGTAACAACAAAAAGAAATAAAGGATACAAACCTGCTTGAGTTAATCGTAGGAGAAGGAAAAGAAAACTAGCAAGGTTTCTCTAGAGGTTTGTCAGGGACCTAAGGACCTGGAGGTGATTATCAATGCCTAACCTTACTGGATGCTTTAATTTCCTAGAAAGAGCCTGGGCCTTATCGGTGGGAGCATTTGCTGTCCTGCAGGCACCTTGGATGTGTGAAGTGATGAATGCCTTCATTAAGCACTTGCTGAACCAACAAGCAATCAGCCTACTCTCTAATTAGTAGAGGTGTCACAGAAGACTTTCCGTGGAAAGCAACCTTAATTCAGACAGCCACAGCAAAGGAGACAGTGATGAAGATTCTTAATTACAAACACGAAATCTTTATTTTGGAAATTAAATAGTCGAGTGAATGGGGATGAAACAGCAGTAGATGGGACTGAAGGCAGCTGGGAACAACTGTCGCAGTGCAGGAGCCAGCATGGGAACCTGTATTTGGAACTGGGAAAAAAGAGTTTAGGAGGGGTTTGGGCCTGGGCTGAGGGGTGGCAATCTACAAACACAGGCTGCTGGGGTGACCAAATGCCTACAAATACAGCAGAGATGAACCAGAAGAGAACAGCAACACCTGGGGAGAAAAATATTTGGGAGAAGAGCTGGAC